GCCCCCGGACAAGGATGACATGCGTAAGTTGAGGGGATGTGTCTGGGCGCATGCATAGGCGCTCCCCTCTGTTCTGGTGAAGAATCCCCTCGGCGACATGATTACTATGACTTAGGAGGATTGACTGTTAAAATTGGAACTGTATAGAGAAGAATAGCAAGGCCCCATAGGTGCTCCCGTCTGTTGTGGCCGAGGATCCCTTCGAGAAGGATCCCCTCGAGAACTTGATTATTCGTGTTTTAGGACTGACAGAGAAGCCCCCGGACAAGGATGACATGCGTAAGTTGAGGGAATGTGTCTGGGCGCATGCATAGGCGCTTCCTTCTGTTCTGCTGAAGAATCCCCTCGGTGACATGATTACTATGACTTAGGAGGATTGACTGTTAAAATTGGAACTGTACAGAGAAGAATAGCAAGGCCCCATAGGCGCTCCCTTCTGTTGTGGCCGAGGATCCCTTCGAGAAGGATCACCTCGAGAACATGATTATTCGTGTTTTAGGACTGACAGAAAAGAGTAGCATGGCCCCCGGACAAGGATGACATGCATAAGTTAAGAAATGGTTCAAATTAAAAAGAAATAAAGATGATTAAACTGTGAGGTAAGGATTAATCTACAGGAAACGTTTCCACCTAAGCTCTGGTGTCAGTGTCACGAGCTATTGCGATGTCTCGAAACCTAGAAAACTCCATGTGTGGGTGGGGACCCCTGAAAGGCGCAGGTGGACCCCCTGCCACTGTTGGTGGACCCTACCCTTATCCCAGACTGATCTTGATCATCTGATTGTTGTTTCGCAAAAAGCCACTCATTTTAGTTTTCTTCCTCTGAAGTTTGTTGTCGTTTTTCATTTTTTCATTTTGTTTTATTTTTCGGTCGCTGTTCCTGAAGTGGGTAGCTTGTGTGTGGCAGTGCTAACGCTCTTGACCTGTTTAGCCACAGTTCTCTCCGGCAAACCATTATACCACCGGCCGACCGGGAGTATTCGTTTTTGAAGGATTTACCTCCCCGTATTCTTGCATCTGCTGGGCAGTAACCGCATACAAGTGTCTGCTTGTGTCTTCTGGTACTGAGTCTTGATGCCAAATGCATCAAGACCAAATGCATCAGGACTCTTATTGCATTTGCCATGTAGACTCTCGAATGTTTCCTCCCCTCCTCCCCTCTCCTCTTTTACCTAATCATTTGCGTCTATTTGGAGGCTCGTTTGGGCTTGCCGTCTCAGCAGACCCAGTGGTGCCCGTGTGGACAATCGCCAGTAACCTCATGCGGGTGTCTCCTGGCATTGGTGTTTCATGTGTGTGTGTGTGTGTGTGTGTGTGTGTGTGTGTGTGTGTGTGTGTGTGTGTGTGTGTGTGTTTTCTTTTGTTGTCCTTTGAACCGGAAGTATCCAGAAGGATGCTCGAGCTTGTGTGCCCCTAAAGTACCACTTCGTCATGAGCAAGGGCCTACCGGGCTCTGCCAACCTTCTTGGTCAGTCGGCCAAGCCTATATGCAGCGCCGTATTAACTGGCACATTCTTGCGAGCATTCAAACTCGTTATTATCTGTTTATGGACAGTTACATGTGTGTATCATTGAGCCACATGGGCGGGCTTGAGGTTTTGCATTTTGAAAATATCTTTTCGTTTATTTTTGGGTCTCTTTAACTTGCTTACCTAATCACTCTCGTTTGCCTCATGTTCCGGCCTGTTTCAAGTTTCAACTATTCTTCACACATGTGGGCGTGGCATTACCTTCTCCCCCCAAATAGAAGGGGTACGCTGGTAAGGTCATTTTCGCTGCATCTGGACTGAAAGGTGAGCCAAATACGGCTCTATAATGACCATACGTTCTATTCGGGGGAAGACAGTAGCTGGCATTGTACTGAGGTAAGCCATTTAACTCTGGAGATGCATGTGGTGTGTGCGCTGTGCGCCGTTTCAGGACTGAAACTCTGGGCCCACCACAGTGGGCTCTCTACTTTGACTGAAACTGTGGTGCCACTAGACTGACTACAGTGACTGAAACTGGCACTGTAAGCTCACTACATTGGCTGAAACTGTGGGCCCACTAACAGTGACTGAAACTGTGGGGCCGCTAACAAAGACGGAAACTGAAATAGTGGACCCTAAGTAGCCATGGTGCATAATCCTGCTGCTGTGCAGGCAGGGCATCTAGTGAATATATGTCATTGCTGTGCTGGGCATCTCGTGAGCATCTAACGTTTTTGTCGCTGCTATCTGCTATCAGTCACCTGGGATTTTGGTATGCTGGTGATAACTCGTTGGCTTCTGCTTGTTTAGAATCCTGCAAAGGGATCTTGTCTGTGGATAGTGAAACGAGGAAAACAAAGGAAATATAAATCCTGTTTGAGCCTATGCCTATGCCTATGGCTGCAGTTGGCAGGCTCCATCCTGCTCGTGCATGCTTGATTTGGCCAATAATGGACCCTCTACGACAGTCTTGCAGGTTGATTGATTGATTCTGTTTGGATCACGTGCTTGTGAACGTAATGAATCATTTATCCACACAGTTGTGCAGGGTTTTGGTGGCAGAGAAGAATCACCTGGGGGGGTGCATGCAGGGGAGCTGTGCACGTGCGTTTGTGTTTGTGTGTGTGTGTGTGTGTGTGTATGTGTGTGTGTGTGTGTGTGTGT